GATCGACCCACGAATCTCTTCACTACGCACTTTCATACCAAATGAAAGTCTCCATAACAATGTTATCTCTAAAGATTCATTGAAACCCGCGTTTTATTTCAAATACCCTATATAATATGGTCTGTCTGGTCAAATATTCGACTAATCTGGAGTACAGAAGATTGCATCATATGCGAAATTAGAATATATACCTGATAACTTAGTTTCCTAACCATAATTATACATTTTTCTTGAAATTGCGCCACCTTGCTTCTCTACATCTGCAGCAAAGTATGAGAGTTAGGTTTCCCAACTTGAAACAGGTAGAATGTCTCACAAGTTTATGGAATCCCACTTAACCTAGTCGTCCAAAAGGCTGTTATATTCGGCCTGGATTGCAGCTTCCACCTCACTCAGGTCTCATCATCACCTCCAATACGCGTATTTGGCGCCTAATTGGTTGTGGCTTCCTCAGCCAGACAAACTATCAACGAGCTTGCAAGGCGCATATTTGATGTTAACCTCTACAACTTGAGGAGTCTGAAAACCGTATGCTTTAATGAATAATTCTCAATTGAAGATGTAGCGTTAATTGATTGCTTTCCAGAATTTTCAACTACTTTCCTGCCCTGTAAGGCCAGCCTGGCAGTCCCGAAGGTGTTGTGAATGAGTACACTTAGACCGGTGATAAATACGAGAGCAAACAAAAGTTTGCATCGTGTTCTAAACAGTTTGATGTGACAAATTAATTTTGTCTAAAGCAAACTGCTGTAGAAGTATGGAGAGACTATTGTTGCCTCGGTCACGCAACTGTCGGCAACACAAGTATCCACACATGCATGTGGAAGTAAAAGCTTGTCGGTACATGCGTCCCAACTTATCATCTGATGATGAAGTGGACAAAAGATGGAATATGAAATGTTCATAAGCAACTGGTCACTCAAGCGCTATGCCTGACTGGAGACGGCAATCAAGAGCCACTAATTGACTTCCAATGACCTGGTTTTTTAAATACAAACTTGCAGACTAAAAGTTTTTCTGGTTGCCGAAGCAATGGGTAGCATCGGGTAAAACAGTGTTCACTTTTAAGACTTCCTCTTTTCTAGTCTTCCTCTACCTCCTCGCAATCGAAACTTCCAATATATCTGCCTCGTCCCGGTGCCCACTTGGCACAGCCACGTTGTCGGCTTGATAGGGACCGAGAGGTGGCAGCGCCCAGCTGTTTGGGAGGTCGTGATGACATGAAAAAAGTGAAGAAAGTGAAGAGCAGCAAGAGGAGGAGCAGAATGCTTGGACAAAACAACAAAGTCCCGCAACAGTTGGGACCATTTCTCGTTATTTCTCAAGCAATTAACGCCTACCTCAGACGGACCCTTTGCCGAAGAGAAGTCCGATGTTCGAAAGGAGATTGGCGCATGACCAAGGGTGATGCAGGAAGGGTGGAATGAGGACCTGAGCCTGCGTGTGTTGACGACTGTGTGCTACCGCTCATCAAGACCCCCTTTGAATAACGAGTGGCCTCAACCTACACCCCGCTCGTCTGCCCCTCGAATCTGGGACTTTGACGAGACTCGTCTCCTCTTTTTCCCCTCCCTCGTTATCTGCCTCAATCGGCCGGCAGACGTGTCGTGTCGTGTCGTGTCAATTATCCCAGAACCGAGAGTGCCCCAATGCCATCCGCGTGTCTGGCTCTGCCGAGGCACTTGGGGCTACTGGAGTCAAATGGGCCAATCCATGTTCTCTTTCAACTTCTCCCTCAAGTGGAGCGGGATAACTGATTTCGCTCTAGTCGCGCGGTTCAAAGCCGTCCCTTGGCTTGACTCCGATCTGAGTCACAGAACATCTACCTTCACACGACATATAAACACACCCAAATAAGGCAACTCGAGAGACCCACTCGCAAAGTCCCTTACCCATGAGTGCACAAACATAAACAAAAACCCATCCAAGTCAGGCGAATACATGCAAACCACACACACGTATACATATATAAATATATAAATGCAAATATAAGTAAATAAATAAATATTTATTTATTTATTTACATGCGAGCGCACATCGGGCTCAAAAAAAAAGAGGTTTATTTACAAAGCTGGTGTTCACCTTTCAAGCCGGGAAGAAGTCGATTTGGCGGGGCGCAGAGTAGGCTGGTGCCAGGGTCTGTAATGGCAGCGAGGCCAATGTATCGTCGAGGCAGATGGCACATCACCAAGACGAAGTTTGGTGCCAGTCGGAGAGGCAAAGTGGGCCAAGTTGGGGCGACGCGAAAGGGCAGGGTAAAAAACGGGTTGTGCGAATTGGGAAATGAGCACGAGCAAATAGAAAAATCAAACATAAAGATAGATTTGTGACGAGTTTCTATTCGAAGGAAAAGTAAGTTGGAAGGATTTCGTGATCTTGTCTCACCGGAACCCGAAGGAGAACTTGCCTACACAATACAACAGTCTTCCTTACACGGCAATTCCCCTTCAGTTTCCGATGAGAGCACATCACGAATTCCTTTGCCCTCGAAATGGAAAGTCGTGTCACAATATGTCACCAGGGAACTTTTCGAAACCTAGTTTTTCTTCAAATCTATAAAGTGAGACACTAAGAGGTGACCAGCTTGTCAAAGCAGGAGTATAATTAAGAGGGTATTATTCTGCAATAATTTGGGGATTTAGACTTTGCAGGATTATCAGTTTTGGCTGGTCAATTCTGATCTGGCTTGATCCCATCTGAGATGCCACCAGACTCGGAAAGGCTGAGGCCTAAAGAGGCATAATTGAATTTACGTCTGTTGTGGCAGAACAAGTGGTACCACCCTCAAAGCGACTGTCCCAAAAGTGTAATGAAGCATTAGTCTGCGCTGTGAAGAGGTGAAAGGAAGGCCATTAAAAATTGCCAGTCATCCCATTCATTGACGAAAACATGAAAGGCAAGATGATTTGATTTGGCCTTTGGGTTGGTGTCAGTCACCTTTCGCCTTTTGATCGTTTTCTCCACTTCCTCGTATTTACATGCCTTGCACCGTTGAAGAAGTATATTTGTTGAGCTTACTTCCATTTCGAGTGAAAGTGTTGGGTGAAGAGATTCGATTGTCC